ATACTGTTTGCCAGATTTCTCTGTCAAGATGGAGTTTCTGTTGTTCCCATGGTATTTGGCTGGCTCATATTCATGCCTCTGTTACTCGGCTTCCTTTTCTGTAACTGTCTTACTTCCCCCTCCTACTAGTGTTTGTGTGTCTCCCAAATGAACAACTTAGCACTTGACTCATTGTCTCAGTATGCACTTCTGGAACTAGCCAGTTGAGTTAGCAAATGAGGTTTATGGACAATAATCCCTGGGAACTGGATGATGTTGACTTGGTACTGGCAGCCTACTCCCAACCTAAGCCCCTGGACCATCATCAGGGCACAGCATTGGGCAGCAGGCCACGGGTCTGTATCTGCTGAACAGCTTATTTAATTCCAGAGTGAAAATCATTCACAAGTGCGTGAGCCACCCAACAAGCCACTTACTCCCACATCACTATTTCCAGTTATAAAATTTAGGCGTGGATGTCTGGCATAACACTTACGTCCTACAAGTGATCCATGGATGAGTTCCTGGGTTGAATCCAAACTTCTCTGCTTCTGATCCTGCTTCCTGTTCACCTACTCGCAGGAAAGATATTGGATAACAGCCCCAAGAGTTGGCTTTCTGCCACCCACAAGGGAGACCCAGATGGGAGTCCAGGCCACTGGCTTCAGTCTATAATAGCTCATCACTTGTTACTGTTTTGGCCTATAGATTCTCTCTCTCTCTGTCAGACTTTTTTCAAAGGTTTTTAAAATTTTTATTTCGAAGGCAGAGTTATAGAGAAGAGACAGAAAGAATCTGCCACTCGCTGGTTCACTCTCCAAATGGCTGCAATGGCCAGAGCTGAGACAATCTAAAGCTAGGAGCCAGGAGTCTCATCCACGTCTTCTAAATGGATGTGGGGGTCCAAGGCCTTGGATCACCCTCTGCTGCTTTCCCAGATTATCAGCAGAGCGCTGGATTAGAAATGAAGCAGCTGGAACTTGAATCAGTGCCCATACAGGGTGACAATGCCGAAGGTGGAAATTTAGCCTGCTGTGCGAACAGCGCTGACTCCAACTCAAAATGTTTAAAATCAGTAAAATGGATCTGCGCTGTCCATCTGACTTCTTACATTTGTCTCTTGTCCAGAACTTAAAAGAATAGGAAGTCGTTGCTGGAGCCTCTTGAAATGATTGCAATAACCATGGTAGGAAAAGTAGACATCGAAGTTGAGCAAAACCCAGGGATGTGGCCAGTGCCGTGAGAGAAAGAGCAAATCTGTAGTTGGCAAAGGAGACAGTGCACCAGCCAAGGAAGTCACGGGTAGACATTGGCCAAGACCACGTGACTGGGACACGTGGGATGCTGGGGAGGTGATCCTGCAGATGAAACTGGAGCTCCATGATGAGAACTAGGTCCCTGCTGCTGAATAGAGTCACCCCATCCATTGTGATGTAAGGTTGTGGGGCAAGAGCCAGTCAGGTGCCACCTTTGTGCAGCTGGCATGGGGCTCAGGCGCAGGTGACTGGGCTGTGGCTGGGGATGTGGTAAGCCCAGCTATGGCCAGAAACCAAGGAAACAGACTGGTCCTGCTGGATTCTGCAATCAGGTATCTAAGGGCCTGGCACACGGTGCCTCTGCCCATGCTTGTCAAGGGGCAGTCCTGCTTTGCTGATGGAAACGACAAACTTGTGTCTCCTCGGGTTTTACAAATGATCAGCCTTAAAGGTCTTTCTGTAGAGCTCTTTCTAAAAAGATTTAAATTTTTTTTTTTTATTTGAAAGGCAGATTTACAGAAAAATGGAAACAGAGAGGAAGATCTTCCATCGTTTGGCTCACTCCACAAATGGCCACAACAGCCAGAGCTGAGCTGATCTGAAGCCAGGAGTCTGAAACTTCTTTCAGGTCTCCCACGCATATGCAAGGTCCCCTTGCAAATCTGATGTTATCGAATTTTTGCTTTGAAAATTCCTTCCCCCCCAATTCTTTCCCTCTCCCTCTTCTACAACTGCTCATTTCCTGAAATGAGCACAGAGGGGAGGGAAGTCACCATGCCTCACCCTGCTTCCAGGCAACAGCACCTGACTCCCCTCCAACCCACCATGCTGCTTTTGGCACAAGGTTGTCAGGTCACAGCGCGAGTCCACTTAGGCAGGAGTTTGGCTGCTGGTTAGTTGCAGAAATGCCGTTTGCAGAGCGCACCGAAGGGCAGGCTGCAGGGGACGACTCATCTCCTTGCACAGGAGTATTCCTGGGGTTGGTGTCAGTAAGCCACATGTGAGTCAGTGCTGGTCACCATGTGTCAGTGCTGGTGACCACGTGCAGAAGGCTGGCAGATGTCTCACTGGAGAATCTGATCCACCTGGGGACAGGTTGGCTACAGCGTTTGGCTGCTTCCCTAACCAGTCCTGGCTCAGGTCAGTCGCTAAGTTGTCATAGATGGTGGTTGCAGACCATTATTAAAAGGCAAAGTTACAGAGAGAGGACACACACACACACACACACACACACACACACACACATCCCTTCCCTCTGCTGATTCACTTTCTAAATGGTCATGTCAGCTACAGCTGAACTGGTCTGAAGCCAGGAGCCAGGAGCTTCTTTTAGGTCTCCCATGTGGGTGCAGGGATCCAAGTACTTGGGCCATCCTCCATTATTTTCCGAGGCCATAAGCAGGGAGCTGCATTGAACATGAAACAGCTGGGACTAGAACCAGCACCCACGTGGGAGCTGATGGCGAGGCAGAGGATTACCACGCTAGATCACTGCGCTGACCCACGAGGATAATTTTTGTAGAGTAATTCTGAAATAAAACATGAGCCCACCCCCCCACCCCGCCCCGTTAAAATACATGCACAGTATCTATTCAGAACCCTGCATGAGTGTGTGTGGTCATGGGTTCAAATCCATCAGCTTCAAGGGTTTCATGACCATGAGAATGAGACTGAACTTGAGAGACCAATGGGAAGGCCCAAAGACAGACATGTGTCCAGCAGGGTGACGCTAGGTTTTCCTGGAGGTTGAATCTGGTGCAGCCAGTCCTCGGATGTGTCCATTCCGGAAGCTGCTCAACTGGTGTGTTGGGTGATTGTCAGGGGAGAAGGCCTTTCCAAGCCCAGGATGCAGCTCGGCCTGGACAAGCGGAGGGAGGGACTTTGGTTGCATGGAGGCTCCCCCACACTCCACACCCCTTTGCCCCATCTTCTTCCTGCCTCCATGGAACCACCCCAAAACAGCTCCCCTCCGAGAGATCTCAAGTGTGGAGCACTTGTTTCTTCTCTCGGAATTGAGAAACAAACCTGATTCTGGTAACTATTGCTCAGTGACTTGAACTTTTGCCACCTGTTCTTAAAGGGGCCTTATGTCCAGAATTCCAGATAAAATAATAATTTAAAAAATTGTGTATTTATGGTAAACAAAGTTACATGGTGGTTGGGACTTTTTTAATTTTCTAAAATTACAAGGGCTACCTTAAAAAAATTACAGAAGACAGCAGAATTATGTTTACAATTTCCTCTCTTCCTCCCCGTAGCTCCTAGCAACCAGTGTTGCTACCTGCAAAATCTTCCGTGTAATTTCCTGTTAGTAAGTACCGCACCTGGACACGTGGGTGGGGCTAAGTGACTTGCACCACAGCGACAAGATTGGAGAGGTGGGGCAACTCTGCTTCAGGCAAAGCATGAAGAAGGCCAGAGTTCCTGGCCTGGGTGGAGAAGGCTGAGCCAAGCAAGGTCAAAGTCGAGCTGGGGAAGCTTCACAGGCAACCCAGCAGGTGGCCAGTGGGATGCTCAGAGGTAGAAAAGATGGGCAAGATTTATTTTATTTTTATTACAAAGTCAGATTTATTCTTTTTAATGGAAAGTCAGATTTATAGAGTGAAAGAGAGACAGAGAGAAAGATCTTCTATCCGCTGTTTCACTCCCCAAGGAGCCACAGTAGCCGGAGCCGAGTTGAGTAAAGCCAGGAGCCAGGAGCTTAGTCTAGGTCTCCCATGCAGGTGCAGGGTCCCAAGCCTTTGGGCAGTTCTCTACTGCTTTCCCAGGCCACAGGCAGGGAGCTGGGTGGGAAGTGGAGTAGCAGGGACAGAAACTGGCACCCACATAGTATCCTGTGTGTGCAAGGCGAGGACTTTAGCCACTAGGGTACTGCTCCAGGCCCATTGAGTTTTTTTAATATTATCTTATTTTTAAAGATTTATGTATCTTACTTGAAAGTCAGAGTTGCAGAGACAGAAAAGGAAAGACAGAGAGACAAGTCCTCCAGCTTTCCTAACTCCACAACAGTCAGAGCTGAGCTGATTCAAAGCTGGGTAGCAGGAGCTTCTTCCAATAGCCTGCCTGGGAGCAGAGGCCCAAGGCCTTGAGCCATCCTCCACTACTCTTCCAGTACATTAGCAGGGGGCTGGATTGAAAGCGGAGCAGGCAGAGGATTAGCAGGTTATGCCACTGTGCCAGTCTCAAGCGAAGATATTTGTAACAAAGCTATTTAGAATAAAATTCCGTTTATTGTATCCAGTGTAAACCATGCACAGCGTCCCCTCCGTAGGTGGTCGCGGGGGTGGTCAGGCTCCAAGGGCGCACAGCGCGTCGGGCCCCACTCGCCCCTTCCTGCACATTCCACGCGCGCCCCCCACGCCCCTTCCTGCAAATTCCACGCGCTCCCCCCACGTCCCTTCCTGCAAAATCGCACGCGCTCCCCCCACTCGCCCCTTCCTGCACATTCCACGCGCTCCCCCACTCGCCCCTTCCTGCACATTCCACGCGCTCCCCCCACGGTGGGCCTGCCAGGCTGGCTGCGCTCGCCGCCCCTCCCCAGCCGACCCCTCGCCAGCGCCCACGCTGCAGGCAGGTGAGCATCCGTGCGGCGCTCGGACCTGTCTCCGAGAAGGCCCAGCACGCATGTGCCGCCGTCCACACGGGCCGTGTCCTCTCCGGCCTTCCGTAGGGCGGCCCGGCCGAGCTCCACGTAGACCGCGCAGGCGCCTTGGGCGCACCGTTCACCTGCTGCCGTTGTCGCCGCCGCCGGGGCTGCATGGGGGGCCGAGGGCAGCCGCGGGCACCCGGAAGAAGGAGACGCGGCGGCGGCGACGCCGACACCCGCAGGGCGAGTGCGCCGATCCGCCCGCGAGCCCGGGGAGGAGGCGGCGGCGGCGGCGAGGTCCGGCCCCCGCCGTCCCTGGTGTAGGGGAGAAGCCGAGGGCGCCGCGGCCGGCCCGGGACTTGCACGGGCTCTCGCCCCACTTGGGGTCTCGGACACGCTGAGGACCCCCCCACCCGCGCTGCGCCATGTTCAAGAAACTGAAGCAGAAGATCAGCGAGGAGCAGCAGCAGCTGCAGCAGGCGCTGGCTCCCACTCAGGTTCGGTGGCCCTGGATTGTCGGCGTCCCCGGTGTCCGGATAACCCCCAGAGCAGGCCCCGCAGGGGAGCCGGGGAGGGAAGGAGGAATGCTGGGTGGTCTCCCGCGACCTCCGATCTCCGGCCGCTGGCCTCCCTTCCAGAGCGTGGACCGAGCTGGGATCTTCTGTGACCCCTGACCCGGCTTCTCCCCAACCCCAGAAGGAGGGTCCTGGAAGGAGTGGCAGGAGCCCTCGTGCCATCTGACCTTTGATCGTGACCCGAGGATGGGTGCCAGGGCCTCCTTCCTACCCTGGCATGATTCCTGACCCCCAACCCTGGAGGGAGGGCAGTCGGGGGTAGTTTCTGACCTGCATGACAGGCATCTCCTCAACTTGAGCTGGAGTGTCCACTGGCCGGGGTCCCACAGGACTGTGAAATCACCGTCCCCCTAACCCCCCACCTCCCGCCTCCAAACTCGGGTGCCGGGGGTGAGGGCCAGGCTGCTGGCTGGCAGGAGTGGTGGCGGCATGCCCGGTGTGCAGAGTGCCCGGGGCTGTCACGAGTCGGTGTCCCTTGGCACAACTTGAGCCGAACGTTGTGAGAGCGGCCGGCCTGATGCCTGTCCTCAGGCTTTGCCCCTGCCTGGTGCACAGTGAGTCTAAGATGTGTTTCCGGCAGAGGGGGGTGTGTTCTCGGTAGAGACAGTCCCCTAAGCCCTAAGCATGTTGCAAGCAGCGTGGGATCGCAAAGAGTGAGAATGACGGTTTCGGCTAGATTTCTTACTGACCTTTTTCGGATCCCACCTGATGGAGCGAATCTCTCTTGAGTTTGGGGTTTTCTGGTTCTTGCCTACAGCTCCAGGAAAAGAGATTCTTCTTTCTTTCTTTAAAAAAAAACACTTAAGGAAGTGGCTGCAGTCTTTGAATGCTTTTATCTTTTGAAGTAGCTACCACACTGTGTGTATTCTGAAAATATAAACTGAATCTGTCTGCAGATTTTCAGCTCATGTGGAGTAGAGCTGTGCTCGACAAAGACGGGGTCCTGGTGGCTTGTTTATTCTGGGGTCAGTGATGACTAAAGTGTAAACAGTGGAGGTTCTTTAAGGAACCAAGGCACTTTAGATGTCAGGTAGAGATGAAGACCGCAAGGGAATGGGCAGAGCAGTGAAGTTGAATCCTTTACGATTAGACATGCATACATCCTGCAGTTGTTGGTTCAGCCTTCCCTTTCTAGAAATTGTTCTGAGAAAAAGGATGATGTATTGTGACTTTAACCGCATGGATTTCCCCCCACTCCCCTTTTCAGTGTTGTAATTGATGAAAAGCTAGCTACTATAAATGTTCCGCGCCGGAGAACTGGTTAAGTAAGTTCTATCAGGGACTTGGTAATTATGCAGCTGCAAAAAGAGGCCAACGTTTATTGGTTCCTGACTGTATGCCTAACATTATTTTGCTTGGTGTCTTACACAGACTATTTGATTTCACCTTGACCTCTGAGGTAGACACCACTTTATTCCTCTTGTACAGATAAAGGAGTGAGGCCCAGGAGACTTGTTAACTTGCCTAATTTTGCACGCTTAGTGTTGGAGTCCCCCCCCAAAAAGTGGCACACAGGAATATAATGTGTCATCCTATTTTGTAGGAAAAAAATATGTGTAAGTATATTTGCATAGACCCATTGTGAAAATAGCTTCAGAAGGTTGTCACTGAAGCACTGGTGGGTGTTGGCTATGGTCTTCCTCAGTTTCAGCACTTAGGTTTTCTTTATGAAATTGAATCGCTTTTATGAATTAACAAGGAGATTTTTCTTTTCTGAAGATTTATTTATGTTACTTGAAAAGTCAAAGTTACAGAGGCAGAAGGAGAGACAGAGAGAGAGAGATTCTGTCTCTTGTTCACTCCCCAGATGGCTGCAAAGACCAGAGCTGAGCTGATCCAAAACTAGGACTCAGGAATTTCCCTTGTAGGTGCTGGAACCCAAGGACTTGTGCCATCCTCTGTTGCTTTCCCAGGCCGTAAGCTGGGCGCTAGATCAGAAGTGGAGCATCCGGGACGTGAACCTGCACCCAGATGGGATGCTGGTACTGGGAAGCACAAGGCTAGGCTTATGTACCACCATGGCAAACTCCTAAAGGGGTTGTGTTTTAGCAGTAGTGATAGTAAAGCCTGTTGCAAGCTAAGATGTTAACTTAAAGCTTTTGCTGAGGCAGTGCCTGTGGGTCAAAGAAATCACTTGTGTGTATAAGGTTTACAGCATTTCTTTTAGGTGATATATATATATTTATCCTGAAGTTGAAAAGGAAATGTTATAGATCAACTACTGAAAGAAATTTGATTCTCTTCGGGTTCCAGATCATTAGTATTTGGACTCTTCCAGGAATGAGGAGTTCTGGATTATTGTCAGAGTTCAAAACAAAATAAAGATGCATGCCTTTTACAAAATGCCCTGCATATCCTGTGTTCCTAAGCAAAGGGTCTTTGATTAGTCCACTATTTTCTGGATGACTCAAGGTCGGACATTTTGAGTACAAATCATGAATATTTATTTGAAAAGGCAGAGTTAGAGGACAGAGGTCTGTCATATTAAGTGGTGTATTGGGAGACTGTTTTGAGAAAATTAGCCAAAGCTTTAGCAGAAGAGTGTCTGGGAGGGCTTCCATAGAGAGAGCTACACATTTCTCTTAAGAAATAAAGGCAATTTGGAGAGAATTTTGGTGGGCAATAATTAGGCATGTGCTATAAAGCCCCGATTCAGCTACTTTTGACTGCTTTTCATTCCTTGTTCTCCAAAGGACACCCATTTTCCTCCATTTAATTGTGTAGAAAAAGAATCTCCATTGACATGGTTAAATTTGCAGGACCCCCAGTTCCTCTGGAAGTCCCTGCTGGTATCATGCTACTAAAAGTTTCTTGAGCTCAATGAAGCTTATTTTTAGAATTAAAGCTTACATCTTTTTTTCATCTTTATCCTCTAAGAAAAATTTATTTTCGCGTTTCATTTGAAAGGCAGAGAGTAGGTGAGTGCTGTCTTCCGTCTGTGGGTTCATCACGTTTCTGCAGCTGCCAGGGCTCTGGGCCAGGCCCAGTCAGGAGCCTGCAACGCAGTCTGGGTGTTCCACGTGCACTGCCGGGGACCAAGTGCTTGAGCCACCGTTGTCCGAAGATGCACATTAGCAGGAAGCTAGAGCAAAACTGGAGCCAGGGCTTGACTAGGGACCCTTGGGACGGGCTGTGGGTGTCCCAGGCAATAGCCTACCCGCTGGGCTAACCACCTGCCCCTGTGTCTAAACTAATTCCACTTTTCCTTAGAAGCCATTACATTTATGGTATTCCAGGGAGATTTGATAACGTGTATATTGCGTAGTGTTTAAAATCACAGTAAACACATCTAACTCAATTGTGGCTTCTTTATGGTGCATTCATTTTAGGTTTTATGCATTTAGGCAGGCAGAGGCTTTCTGTCTGCTGATTCAGTAATTGCTCACAGCACCTGGACCAAGGCTTTGGGCCATCCTCGACTGGAAACTTTACTATCATTCTCTACAAGTATAACAAGTTCATCTTCTGAAGTATTTGACCTGTAAGTTAGGGATTCTCATCAGTTACGCATTCTTTGGGTGGGGATTCAGCTTGCCATGACCAGAACCACCTTGCCGCCTATGTCACCCTGGAGGTCATCTCCAACCTTGGGTGGAAAACAAGGTCCTTGACATAGCCTGCCCTGCCACTTGCAGTGTCTCTGAGGAATGTGAGTGTCTCTTGAGAGTGTGCAGGTGCGTTCCATGTAAGCTCGAGTCACCTGTGTTTCTCACGTTCTGTATCTCGTGCCACGTGATGTGGAGACCCACGTGTCTGGTAGTTATCTGCGACTCGTTTCTGTCCCTTAGTCTCCCCAGTGAGTTGTGTTTTGTGTAATCCTGAGTTGATCTGTTTCTTGCTTCTTCCTACCTTTTGTCTTGTTTATTCTCATACACTGGGTTTTTCTGAAACCTCTTAGATGAATAAATTTTTCTGTCTTGATAGAAACATTTCTTTTTCTCTCTTGAGACATTTGGTTAATTTTATTAGTATGTACTGTATATATATGATCCATATGAAATATGCTATTAATAATGTCTGAAGTGGTTAGACTTTCATTCTACTTTTCGTTCATTATCAGCAGTTGGAAGAGAAAGGGTGAGAAAGATTATCTTATAATCTAATTTTAATGTTTCTGGATATCTTGTGTACGTCATGTTAAGTGATTGTAATTTTTAACTAAAATTTAAAACAATTTTATTTCTATCAGAGTGTATCTTGATATAGTTTTAAGGGCCAAGTACTACTGAAAGGATTGTTAAAAAGTTGTGCAAAAAACTGTCGTGTGCCCCAATCCTCTGGTCCTGTTGTCTGTATTCTCAACATTACTTATTCCCCTGGTATTTAATTCTGTAAGTTGAAATAATAAGCTTTTATAGCCTTGCTGTTTGTTGATGTATGCATTTGAGACAGTGAGTGTTTGTCTCCTGCTAAGGAAGATGACTTTTAAACTTTGCTCCATTGTTCCGCATTGGCAGTCTTGCGGTTGGGAGGCATAAAGCTGTTCTTTTTTCTGAGTCTTTAGGGTCTTTCCCTAGGTATTTTTTTTTTTTGAAATTTCATGACACTTATGCATTGATGTGGATTTCTTTCTTTCTTTTTCTTTTTAATTTATTTTTATTTCAAGGGTAGATTAACAGAGAGAGGGAGAGACACAGAAAAATCTTTCATCTGTTGGTTCACTCCCCAAGTGGCTGTAACAGCTGGAGTTGATCTGATCTGGATCCAGAAACCTCCCCACCTCCAGGTGGGGGTCAGGGTCCCAGGGCTTTGGGCCATCCTCCCCTGCTCTCCCAGGCCGTCAGCAGGGAGCTGGACAGGAAGTGGAGCGGCTGGGACACTAACTCCTATGGTCAGAGTGGAGCCAAGGTCATATGGGATGCTGGTGCTTGTAGGTGGGGCCACAGTGCTGCCCTGGTGTCTCTGTCCTTGTGCACTGTGCT